CATCAGCATAGGATGCGCCACCGCCACCACTTGATGCTGAGATATGTGTCCCTGCCAAGCGACCTCCCCATCGCCCGATGGGAACGGGTGGGGACAGCCCCCCTTGCCTTTTCGGCTGGAAGCAGCAGCAACAGCAGAGGTGAGCGAGAAGAAGAGGGGAAACGGAGAGGAGAGGTGTGTTGGCTGGTTGGATGGAATGAGGTGACCGTGTCACTTCCCTCCTTCCCCTGCTTGCCCCACTCCACACAACACAGCCCACCAACCAACCAAGCAACCATCAACGATTATACTCACCTGTGCCTGATGCAGCCAGCCAGCCAGCCAGCCAATGTGCCACAGCGAAGCCAGAAAAAGGAACCGCAATCACATGCCACGGCCACCATCGTCATCGCTGGTGGAGCAGAAAGAGGAGATGAAGGGGGAAGAGTGGTGGGCACGGGCGTGTCCTTCCTTGTCTTCATCGGCGCAGCCCCAAACACGCTGCACAGCACACGCACACGCACGGCCATCATCACAGCACCAGCACCACCAGCAGCGAGCCAGCCTGCCCTGCGTGCCTGTGAGGCAAGGAGAAACCAACCAGAGACGAACAACAACGACCGGCGATGGTGACGACAGGAAAGGAGGGACACAAAGGACCACGCATGGGAATATGCAGCATGTTGTGGGCGGGGTGCATCACCTACACACAAGACCAACGAGGCAAGCACCCAACAAGCACCCACCAGGCAAGCAAGCACACCACATCCACCACTGCTGCAATACCTGTGTTGGCCGCAGTCTCAATCACGCCTCAGCAGCTGCACATCGCATGGGGAAGGCTGATGATGATGATGACGGCACAGAGCAAAGGCGATTGGTTGGGAAAAGAAGGAAGGGGATTCGGTTGGGGAAACCCGCACTCATCCGCCTGCAGCCACGCACACACGCACACGCACATGTGAGTTGTGTGATTGATTCATGTGAGACACACGTCAGTGCAACCACCCCACAGCCAATGACTGCTCTGATGTGTTGGCATGCATGTGTATATGCGTGCGTGTGTGTACGTGCGTGCAAATGAGTAGTACCACACACATACACACACACACAGCGGCAGCCTCTCACCTTGTGCCTTCTTTTCTCGCACATTCGTGTGTGCGTGTATTGCCCTGCTCGTGTTATGAGGGCTTGGGAAGAGATCGGCCACCGTCCTGTGCAAAATCGCACACATGTACACATGCGCAAGCACAAACAACAAATTAGCAAGAATGACACCACGCAGTGAGCCAGCATGGCAGAAACAAACCACATCCACCTCGTTTGCCACATTCACATCACCCACATCACCACCCGTGCACGCACATTTCACACCCCACACACAGACACCACATCACCACCACCACAAGCAGCACACCTGCACATGCGTGTGCGTGCGCCGTGTACATCCACCACAAATCACTCACCACCACCAGCAGCGTCGTCACGCGAGGCAACGGCACATCGACGCACATCACACCCTGTGTGTGTGTGCGCGTGGAGAAAGCGGTGAGTTGTCGCAGAATCAGGCTGTCAACGACAGCAACACCCATCGCCACCAGCACCAACAGGCTCAACGACATCCAACCAGCGCTTCACAATCACACACATATACATGCTGTTGTTCACACCCAACACATCACACGCCACCCACGTCACCAACACCAACACCCATTCATCTCACCTCCACATTCACGGTCGCAGCCGCTGTTGGTGACCAATGACGATGACGAGGACGAGGAGGAGGAAGGGATGGACGAGAGACAGAGGGCCAGTTCATCCACAATGCAGCCACACATCAGTTGTTGCTGCTGCTGGTGAAAACGGTGAAAACAAACGGCCCCTTGCCACGCCGTGTCCATTTGCTCGCTCGCTCGGCTGCTTGCTTGGTCGGTTGGATGGAGACGGATTCGTGGTCCTGTGTCACAATCAATCAAAAAGGAGAAGAAGAAGAGACACATGAGTGGACAGAACAGACAAGGAAAGAGGGAGGCGAAGAAGGGAACACAACATGTCAACCAACACACACACACACACACATCTCAGTCGCCCTCTCACCTTCATCACTCGTCATCATCGTCATCGTCGTTGGCTCCACCGCTTCATGCGCTTCCTCAACGCTGTGAATTGTGTGTGCACGGTCACAAGATGGGAGAGGATGCAGGGGGGTGAGGTTGATAGCGAAGCATCATTAACCACACGCCAGCCCCATCGAACCACCCGCATTGACACACAACCACACGCACACACACATGTTGTCTCCACTCATCCCATCACCATGCACATACACGCACATTGCTCACCTCTTCATCAGAGCGAGTGACATGTGCAATGTCTGACTCACGCCAGATTGGGGCTGGCGTCGGCTGGAGTGTGATGACGGCTGTGCTGTCGATGATGGTGATGGTGATGACGGTGACAGCCGAGCTGTGGTGGAAGAGAGAGAGAAAGGAGAGAGAAATGGGGGAAGGGTTGCTGATGATGAGGATGATGGGGTAGTTCGTGGCGGCTTCCTTCCCTCCTCTGATGTGGCCCTGGTGCCCGTACAACCAACACACAACGAAGAGACACAACGACATCATCACACACAGCACACAGGTATGGCATGTGAGCACAGCAGACGTGTTCACCTTCCTGTCCCTCTCTTTTGCTTTCCTCCTCGCCCCACGACACACACACACGCACACACACCTGCACATGACTGCGTCACTGTGGTTGGATGTGCCCACCATGACCATGGACGTGCGTGCCCACAGCTGCTCCTCCCAACCCATCATGTGTGCACCGCCCATCATCCTCCAACGATCCTTAGGCAGTCGCCCCCTGCAGCCACAAGCATACACACACACACACACATGGCATGTGAGCTGCACAGCTACACTGCTGCACGAGACACAGCAGAAGCAACAACAAGCACCCACAGCAGCAACACCAACACATGCACCATACGCCAACCAAAGCATGCATGATGGGCCCACCTTGCTCACGCATATGGGAACACTGCATGAGCACAGCAGTGGCAGCTGAATAGAGGAAGTTGCAGCAGCAGCAGCCGGCATGCGAGCCCGCTTCCATCAACATCGTGATGTGTGCTGATACCTTACCACCTGTGCATATATGTGTGTGTGTGCGTGGTTGCAGGGAACGTGGATGGGAACAGAACACAACAGGCACAGAGCAAGCCATCATGTCGGTACAGCAGAACGAGTGATTGATATCACACGCACCACGGGCGTGTGTGTGTGTGTATGTGTCAGTGTATGTGATCATCATCCCCCATCAACCCCTTTCTCTTGTTCGCTTCACCACATCCCCCCCCCACACACACACACACAACCAACCACTCATCACCACCCACATACCATATGTGAGGCGAGTGCAGCTGGTACGCGTGACAAATATCCTCGACATTTCCCTCATCCTGCTGCTTGCGAGTGTGCATCGCCTGTAAATGTGTTTGTGTGCGAGCACCAGCATGGTGAGTGAGTGGGAGGGAAGAGGGAGCATGGATATGTGCACAGCTACATGCTGCTGTCGCTGCTGGTGTTGTGCATGCAGGTGTGAAGAAGGAGAAAGGGAAGAGAGCCCAGGGAAGAGAGAGAAAACAGAAAACAAAAGGGAAGGAACAAGACATGCTGCGCCCCATCCATCCATCCATCCCTCTTCCTCACACCACCACACACCATCGTCCTCTGTCATCAGCCAGCCAGCCACACCACACCACACCACACTCACCCAGCAACCCCCACCCCACCTCATTCCATCCAACCAGCCAACACACCTCTCCTCTCCGTTTCCCCTCTTCTTCTCGCTCACCTCTGCTGTTGCTGCTGCTTCCAGCCGAAAATGCAACTTGTGCTGTCGCCACCTGTTCCCAGTGGGCGATGGGTTGGTTGGTTGGTTGGTTGGGATGTGTTCAGCAGCAAGTGGTGGTGGTGGTGCATCCTCTGCTGCTGCTGCATCGGCGGTGGAGGGTGTGTTGGCTGGTGCTGCTGTTGTTGTTGTGATGGCTGCCAGGGAGGGCGAGAAAGAGAGGGGAAGACAAACAGCAGCTGCAAGGTGGAGAATGTGCAGGTGTGCAGGCGGTTGTGTGTGAGAGCGACGAATGAGACAACGCATCAAGCAAGGCAAAACAGGCAGCCGCACGACACACATGCATGCACATTGATGGGGGACAACAAGGGGAGACAGGAACAGCAGAGACAGCGACCACAAAACATGTGATGCTGTGCGCATCACGCACACACACATGCAGTGATGCACTCACGTTGTTCATCGCTTGCTTGTCTGCGGCGTGAGTTGATGTTGTTGCTGCTTCCACAGCCGCATACAGCGTGGCTGGATGGTCATCACATGGCAGCGCCCGTCTGTTCATCCCACCAGAGCAGTGGTGGTTGGTGGAGGGGGGTGACAGCTGCTGGCTCAAGGGCCCTCTGTGTGGCGACAGCAGAAAGAAGGGGAAACGAGCAAGTGTGGAGGGAGGAGGGTGGTAGTGTTGAGGATGGGAAGGATGTGAGCAAACGCACAAGCAAGTGAAGAGGTGGTGATGATGGCGTGTGGATGGGTGGAGAAGAGACAGTGCACGTCGACACGCTCACACACCTGCCACGCGTTGTCGCCACTGAACAGGTTGATCCTGGCAGACGCCAGCAGCGCTGACAGCAGCACATACCACAGTTATGACACACAGGTTGGCAGATGGTGAGAGTGGTTGAATGGACACGAAAACAAGCGAGCAACGCACACACCACACCACAAACGTCACCACGCTCACTCGACAGCCCCCTGTCCCAACAACATACTCCCTCACCTGTGTGCACTTGGGTGGAGAGGGACTTGAAGAACTCCTCAAACACAAACACAACGCGTCTCTGTATCATCTCCACCACCTCTCAGGGATCGACCGCAGGATCCTCGGACGCTGAACGCAGTTGTGT